GTAGTATTATTATATAATAAANAATAGTACTCTACTACTATACTTATTATATATATAGTATATATATATATATAATAGTATATATATATATAATNTAATCTCCATTACCACGTGTGCTTATATAGATAAGGATCTTGCCTACTTATTTAGTATTTTTCCCTTTCTTAAATTTAGTTTATTGAATTACATATTCTTGGCCAAAGATAGCTAAAAATAACTAGAAACAGATAATCCAAATAGTACCAAACATTCAACAGAATTTTGTTATCCATATTTATTTTAGGTAAGATAGTCTATTTAGGATAAAATCAATTATCATCCAGGTCCTAAGAGAAGCTCTCAAATAATTAATATAGCATCAGAATTAGTTTTAAACATTAAACTTTTAGAGTTTGGTGGTACTTAACCAACATTTTCTGTCAAAAATATAATAAATTTGATTTTCAATGGAGATTTTTCATTAGAGATTTATCTAATAATTTATAAATCAATTGCAACTTTACATTTGCATACCAATTACTAGAAATCAAGGAATATCGAAAATGGAACAACTTTGGCTGCAACTTTTGATAGAATATTGTAAGTTAGAAGCTACCATGGTACATAGAACATCGGTTTTACATGTGTTTTTTCTATTTAATATAAAAATTTGGATTAATTTCATCAGTTGTTGTCATTTGTGCAAGGGCTGTGTGAAACTTCTTTGTATCCATCTGAATGATTTGTGCTATAATATACTTTTCCTTTCAAACGTTATGAGAGATGTTATTTTTATTGAGAGAGAGAGAGCTTTGTGAAAAATGGAAGACAGATAAGGGTAGAAATGGTAGACATTTAACTAAGTTACAAATTATCTTGAGTTAGTTGGGCAGTGGTTATTTGTCCCACATCGGGACGATAGGAACGGCATAGTGGGGGGCAAGTGTATAAAAGGGTCACGTCTCAATGGAGTGGGTATTCTCACGTCTCGCTTAAAGTGCTAAGGGTGGGCCCTTGCTACCCCCAGTTAAGTGAGTAATTATTAAAATAAAAAAATAGATATACAAATTAACAACGAAAAAAAATATAAAGGTGGGGTGGGTCGACCACTTCCATTTTGACAGAATCGGCGAACCAGCCCATTCTTTCAGAGAACCGGCCGGTTCAAGGGAGGAACCGAATCGATCTCAATGATTTCCGATCCAGATCGGTCAATTTCAATCCGGATCGTCATTTTTTAAAACACTAGAAAAAAATGTAAACTTTTAAATTTACCTAGTTGTCTATTTCTTTATTCCAATGCTATAAAATGAGTAAAGGCACTTTTGTTATAAAGAAGGGTATTATTAATATTTTCACTAAAAGACGAGCATAAATATGAAACGAAACTCTAAGTAATTTATTTCTACAAGTGCCCCTATCTTTTATTAAATATTTTAAAAATGCCCTCTAGAGATGACAAACATGCCCTTTGTCTTTTAGTGAAAATACCACCAATACCCTTCCTAATGACAAAAAATACTCCTTATTGCATACTCATCGAATAAAGAAAGGGGGTATTTTTACCATTCACACCTCTTTCTAAAGGTAACCTATAGGATTTGATGGGATGTGAACAATAGAAAAACCCTATATATATATATATATATATATATATGTATGTATTGGAACAGGATTTATGTAGCCAACCCTTAATAAATGGACTAAGGCTTGAATGATGATGAGATAGGTGGTTATGCACAGGTATAGCCAATAGTACATGTAAATGTTTATAGGCAGAGCTGTTTATGAACATGCTGCATGAAGCAAGCCGCACATAAACAAATTCACCTATGTGAACCTCACAGAGAGTAGCATTCAGGCATTCAATTACAAGCATACGTTCATACAACTATGTGGAAATTAGGTTGAGGTCTTTCCAATGTAAAACTGTGTGTGCATGTCAAGCACACATATCACATATATGTGTCGTGCATATGACGAGTATAGTCATTGCATGTAGTGGAGAACAAGTTGCCAACAGGCAGGCATGCATAAAAGAGACAAGCCACACAGGCAAAACAGATAAAAGATACCATACAGAGAGGATAGCAGAAATGGAACAATTTCATGAAAATATCCAATGCCAAGTGCAGCAAATAAGAAACTAACCTGCATTGACCAGAGACTCCCTTGTGGCAGTTGCATCAATTACAACACTAGTAAGATGCTGTTTGAGGAAAACCTGCACAATGACATGGGTAGTAATAGTTTAGAAATATAAAATTATATACTGAAACACAAAGAAAATAATTCTGAGGAAAACATTTCAGGCTACACAAAAGAGAAAACAATAGTTATGAACCAAATATCAATGGAAAAAATAGATAAGAAAATTAGTATTACACAACGTTGGAATTATCAAGGATGCTAAAGAAAAAGAAATTTGACCTTTAGCAGGTTTTAATACACAAGGAAAATTACAGATGGCCCCATGTGGACGTATAAAGGCCAAAGAAGTTATTCCAAATACAACATCATGAAAGACAACTGAAGAAATGAGAATAAGAATACTGCTTGATAAGTGGTAGTCTTATAGCGGAGCAAGGCTGACTAGAAACTAGATTAAATTTCAGAATGCTTGGAAATATTTTTCACAAAGATGACACAGAGACCCAGAGAGAGGAAATTAACCTTTATTTCTATTATCTTCTTCTATTTTTTACTAGGAGATCCTCCATTGCAATAGTAATTGCAATATGGATACAACCCAAAAGCTAAATATAAATTTGTTTCAGTGGGCAAAACACCAATTCAGGAACATTTTATTGATACGAAATTTTTACAAAATAATCTTAATTCACCAAATGAACAATTTAAAAATAAAAAAATGAATGTGAGTTCTCAAAAACCTAGATCTAACTTGATTGCCATTCATTGTTGCAGCAGAATTCATTTGAACCATTTTTAGGGTGTGAATTTGTATTTTTTTGTAGACTGATCTCCGACATGAGTAAAGAACACTTGCAAGCTTTTTTTGGAGTTCAATAACCATAAGCAAGTTTTTTGCCCGTGTGAATAAGTGTTGAATTTGCTCCCGTGGGAGTAACAATATCCTTTCCTACAAAATATACACATGAAAGGGAGAAAATATGTCATTTACTTCAGTAGTTTGGAATATCTTTCTGAATTCTTTTCTATCTTAACATGTTTACTTAATTTTCAAGCAACAATATCCTACAAAAGGAAACTTTTTTCCTTTCTTATTTTCCTTTTCGTTCTTTTTTTTGAGAATAGAAAAAGAAGAGTAAAATTTTTGTAATAAAAACCCAGTCACTTATTAGTTACTTCACTTACCATACATAAATGTTTCTTTGTTTTTGGGTAGTTCACTAGGGAAGAGGTCCCCTACCTGTAGTAATGGAACTCAAGATGTCATGTTGTGGCACCCCACCACATTGACCACCTTGCCTTGTGCCCATTCCCACCATGCATAACTTAATGATAAGCTGCAAACCTACCTCTTTAAACTATTTTAGTTTTAGCTATCATAAATTGCACACAAATGTTAGGATTCCAGTAGTTATTATCCCGTGTGAAACATGCATAGTTCTTCATTTTCACTAAGCATGTATTAGTTCTAAATTATAAAAATTCTGCATAGTCCCATTGTCTCTCACGATCATTATATGAAACATCATATTTTATTTTACAAAGATTACCATACATAACCCTCCACTGAATCCACCATTTCGAATGAAACCTCCACTTTTTCTCTTTTCAAATCACCGAGTTCTTCAAATTAAACTTTCAGCAAACCCTTTACCATGTCCCCTCCAACTTCTCTTTTTCCTCTCGGAGCATACCCTTTTCAAACATTTTATTCCCTCCAGGTCCCCATGTCTTAACGACAAGCTGAAATTTTAGAGTATCTCTGTCAAACTTTCTAGAGCATAACCGGAAAATCACCAGTCAATGACAGGTGGGCAGTGTTCATTCTCTCTTTCTCTCTGTCAACCTCTCTCTATTCTCTCTCATTAACTGCTTCTTTGCAAACATTTTATTCCCTCCAGGTCCCAATGTCTCAACTGCTTCTTTGCATCTAAACAAACCCCCCCCCCCCCTCCCCAAAACTAAAAGAAGAGAAAAAAAACCGTCAAAAAACAACTCCCCCCCCCCCCCTTCCCCTTGAATCCGAGCTCTCTTTCTAATTGGAGCTTTCTCATGCTGTCCATGTCCCTTTTTCTCCCATAAATGGCTTCCTGTTTGCTCTCAAATCCCTGTTTAACTTCCCTCCCTATAATATTCTCTTCTCCAATGTTTTGTGGTCAAAAGCTGGTGATTCAGTGTTAACAGTGATAAAAGCACATGGCACATGGCTCTTATGAGATCATCATTAGTGCCATTGAAGAATTTTTTTAACTGAACTCACTGTAGATTCTAGGGTTTTGGAGGAATCCCACGACTATGGCACTTCAAATGGTAGAGTTGAGCAACATTCAGCCAGTCTCAAGTTAAGTATTGTGAAATTGAGTTCCAGTGAAAACGAAAACGGAAATAAAATTAAGAGGCATTTACATTCCAAAGTATCTCAAGATAGTAATCAGAGTCCACATGGCCTGCCCCTGCAAAGGTTACCACCATGTCTGCAGGCAATTTGGGGCTTCGTGTTGCAGGCCCTTATTAGTGGCATCAATGAAATCCAAAACCTGCAAATTCGCAATCCTAGTGAGAGAAACACTGAAAAGGGAGGCAATTCTAGAGAGAGAAACAGCAAGTATAGAGAGAGGCACCATCTCGAACCTGGCCCCTACGTCTATTCTCCCCATCCCCACTGTAGGCCCCTCCATTCTATAAACCCCCCTCCCTCCTCCCTCCCTGGGGCCATGTTTCCTCTTCGACTTCCCACACCATTTCCCTAATCCAAATCTTGACGTGCCTTTCCCCATCCATTTCATACCGCCCCTTCCCCTACAAAACTGCCTTTCTTCCCATACCCCTTAAATCCGAGACCCCCAATTCCTTCAATCCCCTCCCCAATCTCACTTCCACTCTTTATCTTCTAGGAAACTTTCTTTCCCCCTGCTCCAAACCAAACTTCCTTCACCACACCCCTGCCTATGGTGTTACCTGAAAACACCTTCCAGACGGAGCTTTATGCCCTGCTCCCTCCCAATCTGGTAGACAGTTCCATAGGTCTATTCACAAATTTCCTGTCACAAATACTCCTCCCCCATGAAGATCATCATCTGGAAAATTCGAGGTCTAGGACATGCCAACAAAAAGAAAGCAGCCAGAGCTTTGGCCCAAACTCGCAACCCTGACCTCGGATTAATTGAAACAAAATTGCCTAATCCCACCCTCTCCCAAATCCCGCAAGTTTGGGGGAGAAGACCTAATCAATGGGTCACTTTAGAAGCTTTAGGGGCGTCAGGAGGGATCTTGGTCGTCTAGGACACAACTACAGATGCACTTCAATGAAGCATTGCTGTTTCCTTCAGTATCACTTGCCTCTTCTCTAGGATAAAAGATCCAGAATTAAGCGGTTAAAAGCTAAAGACAAGGAAAACCTCTTTCTTCCACAAAATAGCAAGTCGTCATAAGAGGAAAAACGTGATCGCCTACATTCCTGGGGCGAATCGGACCTTTGATGACCCCCAACAAGTGAAGAGGATGGTGGCCAGATACTTCAAAGTTCAAATAGCTGTTCAGCCTAGGCCCCAAGCCTTCAATCTCCAACCTTAGCTTCAAATCCCTCTCAATAGCAGAAGAAAACTGGCTCAAAAGGCCCTTCTCAGTGGAAGAGATCAAGAAGGCAGTGGCAGATTTAGACCAAGACAAAGCACTGAACCCAATGGTTTCCCTATTGCAATTGTCAATAAACAACGGGAGGTCCTTGCCCTGGACTTGCTTAACTTTCTTCAATGAATTCTTCCACAACTGTAGTATTCATAAAGCAAAGAACGCAGCTTTCCTAGCCTTGGTCCCAAAGGTTGATGGATAACACCTGAGAGACTTCTTCCCTATTAGCCTGCTGAACAACCACTACAAAATACTAACTAAGGTCCTAGCCTTGTGACTCAAGGTAGTACTCAACATCATTTCTCACTCCCAGACAGCATTTGTAGCTAATAGACAGATCTGAACAGAATCCCCTTAGCAGCTTAGCTCATGAAACCATCCATTTCTTCCACCTCTCTACATTCCTGGTTTGGTTATCAAGTTAGACAGAGAAAAGGCATATTATCATATTAATTATTCTCGGTCGACTTGATGAAGTCCTGGCCGTACTGGCCTTTGGACAATGATGGTATTCCTGGATCCAAGGATGAAGTACCTCCCCATCATTCTCAGTCTTAATAAATGGGTTCCCAGAAGATTTCTTCAAGGCATCACAGAGGTTGCATCAAGGCATCCCCTATCCTCTTCACCATTGTTGCTGAAGTCTTCTCTCAATCCCTATCACACCTATTTGAGAGGCATATGCTATCTGGGTTCTGATCGTAGAGATGGGGGCCAGAAGCCTGTCACCTTGAATATGCAGATTTATCATTATCTTATGTGAAGCCATGCCAGAACAGTTGGACATTGTATGGCTGTTCCTCAGGTGCTTTGAAATCTCAACAGGAATATAGACAAACATGACCAAAACAAAGACTATGAAAATTGGTTGGACTGGACCTCTCAATAGTGAGGAACCTGGCTTCCAGATTGGGTTGTGGGTTTGAATCATTTCCTGCAAAATACCTGTGATTGCTTTTGTGTATAGTAAACCTAGGAAGACTTTGTGGGAACATATAGAGGAATGCTTCCACTAAAGGTTGGCATCATGGAAGTCTCGCTTCCTCTCCTTAGGGGCGTCTAACACTTCTCCAACATCCCCATTTTCCAATTGTTGTTCTCTCAGATGCCAGCTTCCATCTCCTCGGGACTCAAAAAACTGGTGTAGGATCCTTTGATCGGTGAAGAAGATAAACATAAGTTCCATTTGATTGCATGGACAAGGTGCGCAAACCCAGAATGTTTGGGGGCTCAGGTATTAGATGTCTGAAGCAGGTTTAACCTGTCCCACCTTGGGTTAGTGTTGGTGGAGATTTGCCAACCAAGAAAATACTTTTGAAGGGAACTTACGGCCTAGAGAGCTCAGGCTTGTTCCCAAACGCCCAACACAAGCCTCGGGAGCCTAGAAAAGCATAAGCTCACACATGGGAAATTTTCAAGAGACACATGACATTCTGTAATTGA